GAGCTTTAGCATTTCATGGGCTCAGGATCCCCAGATACTAACACTACTTTCCCATCTTTATCTCTGCTTTCTGACATTATCTCTCCTGTCCATGCCTTTATTCATGTCTCCTTTCAATCATGTAAAGTATTTTTACGCTGCACCAAAATGAACAGCCTCAAAGCTATTTAATATACATTAGTTATAATACAATAAATCATAAAATACCAATGAATAATCGAAGAGTGGAATAACCCACCCACCCACCCACACACCTTACCAGCAAGAACAATTTGGTTTAAAAAATTCAGATCAAGTAAGTAATGGGAAAGAGACATCATAGCAAGCAAAGGTCCACAAAGGAGGGAAAAACTTTGTCTGGTACCTAAAAGATAGTAAAAAGGTTCCAGGGAGTTTCATGGAAGGAGTTCTACCTGGGCCAGAGCAAAAGTGAGATGACTGAACTTGCCAGAGGAAGGGCAGAGGGTGAAGAAATGTGGCTATGTGGCCGTCTCCATTCTCTCAATTCAGGTGCGGATGGAAAACAGTCTGGGAAATTTCTGGGTTGAAGCCTGGCAAACCTCATTACACAGGCTTTGAAATCCAGTTGGCTGAAACTGGACCACTTTTTGCAGGTTTTAGTCAAAAGCGCTCTAGGAATTGACTCATGTCAACTGGAAACTGTAACAGCTTTGGACCTGATCCAGAGAGAGGGAGATAAGTTAACAGCAGAAGCTGGGAGTCCTTCTAGAATTAATGCCCAGTAATACAGCAACTGGGACATACTCAGCAGCATGAGAGCGAAGGAGAGCTTGGGGCTGATGCATCTGCTTATTCGTGGGCCGAGTCCTACTAAGTGTTCTGGGAACAGCTATACTCTGGTAGGGAGCCAAACTACCTTTGTATCTAAGCAGCCATCTGTGGATGAATCATGGAGCAAACGGTTTGCTCCTGGGGGAGGTCAGAAAGCCATGGCAGAGATCACTGGCTCCAACATTTATACTGTAGGAGCAGATTCTGGCCCCCATCAGAAGACTAAATGGGAATGTACACAGTTGTGGAAGGGGGGAAAAAGCCACTGGATGTTATGAGCTGAGACTGAGTTGCATCAGCTCATGATTAGATTGCTGGTGTTGGGAAAAGTCAGATAAATCCTGGCAGAAAAAGGTTGCTTATATGTGCCTTTGTGTTATAAAATTAAATCTACACCTCCTTCTCACAAAGCAGCAGAATTCCAAGCCAGGTTACTGTTTAGCGTTGCTGCTACTTAAAGAAGGTGGCATTCTTAGCTGGACTGAGAAGCTGCCGTAGGCTCACACAGTGAGGAAATACCTGTGTTCTCATCAGCTTCAGCAAAACTGAAACAACAGTGTCCATTTGTTTCTGAATGGACCCACATAAGCATCTAGTCCCACAGAGGCAAGCGCCTGCATGATGTAGTCGTCAAACCAGCTTTCCTGAATGGTTCCTCAATCGGACACATTTGCATGTTCAAGCAGGATCCAAATGGCAAAGTCTACTGAACTGACATGTCAATAAAGCAATCACTCATGTTTTCCATACTATTGTTACCAGTATTTCTAATCGGTTTAGAACATTACGTTATGCTTAGAGACATCAGGATGCTATTGTACTAATATTATCTGGAAACCTAACACTCTGTATTGGTGTACATGACTAGCTGGTTATAAAAGGGTCTGTACATGCACTGTGATTTTGTAGTTGGCGGTGGGAACCACTACCCGGTAACATGCTGTCGTAAGTAACTGCAGGGTTCCTGGGTGATCTTTCAATAAAACTGCTGCGGTTCAAGGTGAAAGGGGTCTTTCCTGACTGAACCTGGTTATCCTGTGTCACAGCTGCCACCAAAGCTTCCCGACACTGCTTTGCGGGTGCGAAATCCAAGAGCAAATCCCTCCTCAGCCAGAAAGTTCTTTGGGTAGCCTTGAGCAAGGCACTGTCTCTCCAACTTTCTGCGGAGTTACGAGGATAAAGGTGATCAGGCCATGCAAGTCCCCCAAAGTTCCTTGAGGGAGGAGCATAAAAGGAGGACGGAGGTACTGACTGTGTTTAAGTACCATGAAGATGGAGGTACTCACTATGTTTAAATGCTATTTCTAAACTAGACGAAAATGCATGTCATTATGATGGGCAATGAGTGTATTGGTGGTGGGAGGAGCTTCTATATTACGAAAATGCACTTGAGAGCAAGAGTGAGAGAGAAGGAGCTAGATTAATTTCTAGAAATCAACAGCCCCCTATTAGTTCTGGAATTGCTATTGTGCTTTACTGCCACTAGTATAATCACCAGAAAGTGGAGGCAGGCATGAACAAAGTGTGTTTGTATTAACAACTGCGCTTCACAAAAATCTAGGCAAACTTGGTTTTACAGTAATTTCCTGACTCTTCATGGAAGAAAACTTGACTATTGTAATTCTCTTTTTACTGTTTGCCTCTAAGCAGGGGTGCCCCAGTAAATGTGCCACAAACACAAGAAAAGTGTCCAAGCACACCATCTTATCCACAGACAACATATCAAGTCATAAAACACAGAGTATGTACATATGGAGTATATTACCAAGGACTATTTTTTTTTCCTAGCCTTTACTTCCATGAAGTGTATTTCCTAAGTTTTTATAAGTTTACGTGACACAAGTCTAAGGTTAAATATTGAAAGAACCCAAGCTGATAATAATTAAGTAAATCGAGCCCAACTTTCAAAATCGCCCCCTGGAGATTCCCCCAAATCCACCTATCAATGTGGGAGTGTGTGACATGGTTTTCTGTATCTCATTTGCTTACATGTTCCCTTTGTTACACTGTCTGGATTTTTCCTTAGCAAACCCAATTTTTTCTAATTAAATGTTTTCATTCTTTGGCTCGCTTTGTGCCCATAACTTGTCCTTAGAGACCAATGGTCAGGACTGATGGGAGTTGCAGTCCAAAACATGTGCAAGATGCCAAGTTAAGGCTGTATGCATTCATCTGTGCACCTGGAATGTGAAAGGTAGTCATCTAAGCAATTTCTTCTCCACTTAAGCAGAATATTCCATCCTCTTTCATGGACCTATCTTTTGCTCCCTGCACTCTTGCTTTATCTTTCTATCCCCTCTAGAATTTAGTGTACTAATATCTTGTCCAACACATTTTTAACGTTGCTATCAAATCAGTGAATGGGTGGGCTCTGCTCTCTGGGCTGGCGTTTCAAAGTGGATGCTTAATTGTACGGTAAGCTAGCCAAGAAAAATATTTGTGCTGCATAGTGCTGCGTCAACATATGTCCCAGGATAAACAACATGCTCATTTGTTTGGCGTGATGGTTTGTGTCATGGAAGTCGCTAAGAAAACATGACTGCGACTGAAACACTGCAGCCTGTTCTCCTACTGCAGGCTCCAAGAATGTGTTTATAGCCCTGGCTTTATGACAACACAGAGATAATGGCTTTGGCACTGATCTATTCCAGGCTTTCTTCTTTTTACAGAATCCCTTGTTTTACTGTTCCGTTCTGTTGATGCTCCTTATATATTTAGGCTTAGGATACACGGCCTCATCCCAAGCAGCCAAAAACCAGCTGGGCAATGGACAAGTAACCCAGAGGGATATTATCATCCAGCAGATATATTACTCTTCCTCACATGAAAATCATGATGAGCCTGTCTGAATGTGAGCAAAGCTCAGGGAACCCAGGTTCCATTTAGATGCCAGGAAGCACTTCCTGACAGTTAGGACCCCGAGGGTACGAAATGGGCTTCCATGGGAGGTCGTTGAGGCCCCATTGGTGAGGGTGTTCAAAGATAGGCTGGACATGCACATGGTGGGCATGTCATGAGTGGAGCCGGCTGGAGCTGGGGGTCAGACTAGATGGCCTGGGAAGCCCCTTCTGACTCTCTCTGTTTCTCTGTTTCTGTGAATGTTCTGCTTGCCATCTTGATGCTGACTGGCCCACCCACAGCTGTTCCATTTTATACGATTTCGTCGAAGGCATTGTGCCGTACATTCTTCTCTTCTTGTCAGTGAATACTCCTCCTAGGAAGCGTGGGATAGATAAGGCTATAGTAATTCCAGGTCACAACTGATTATGTAAACATATTTGTGGAGACACTTACTTGGACAGACGCAGGAGTGTCCTATTTTGGGCCAGAACCCTGAGCTTCATTTCAGAGAAAGTGTGCGTTTCCCTGGTCATGGGCGAGGGCAGCTTTGTTTGCGTCTGTGTGCACTGGGGCTGGGGCTTTGCAAAGGAGGGCTCACATGCCAGACCATTAATCAGCTTAATTACTGTGGGGGCTGCAAGTAGATGGTAAGAGTTTTCTGAGCCCTTCCATAGTTCTGCCTGCTTCTAGTCTGGGGTCAAGTGCACTTGGCGTTTCCCTCAACAGACTGTCATATGGCTGGATGTTAAGAACTTCCTGTTCCCCAGCATTCTTTTCTTGGAGACATGCTGTATCATCCTGCTAATTATCGGCAGGATACCGAAGACATCCAAGTCCTCTTACTGTAACCCCATCCTGCCTGCCTTATTCCTTGGCATCCCATATCGTGAACTAAATCTAGCCTTAAAGTCAAGTCGGTAAATATAGAAGCTGGTGATATCACTGCCAAGGAAAGTGAATGACACTCTCTTTCATTCACATATCCTCACTGGCTTCACACAGTAATTGCTCCTCTCTTCCACCAAGTTGTTTGTTTACAAAGGACATTGCTTTTCCATCTAAAGTCATGAAAATTCAGTAACTCCTGCGACAGAAATGCAAAGATATATTCATCCTCATTCATCTACATCCAGTCAGTATTTACAGTGCAATCCACTTATAGACAAAATAAATTCATGAGGCTTTAATGGGAAATATGATTTACAGGATTTCAACAGTATCTGTTTTGCATCCACACT